CCCAGAGGTTCCGCCTCCTGCCTCGCAAGCACAAGGTCCCTTGAGTTTGATCCCCGGTACCGAAAAAAGAAAAAAAAGCTCTCAGGGACTACATTCTGGTGGAAGGAGAAAGAATATGCGGAATAGTGAATATGTTGATTTAAGTGGTTAAGTGTTAGGGAGATACAGAGAAGGGGCAGGGAAGATTAGAGACGTTTTCCCTGAGAAATCTGACCCCCTCCCCCCCACCCAGGTGGGAGAAAGAGAGGCGGACAGAGGGAAGCTGAGAACATGGAGGCCATCGGACAAACTTTAGCTTCCTGGAGCTTACATTCCAAAGGTGGAAGGTAGTCAATAAACGAGGAAATGGAATAAACAAGATGAGTTCATCAAAGCAAGTAGTATAAAGAAAATAAGTCAGGGTTTTGCCTGACTTTTTAGTTTTTTAAATAAAAATTCTCATTTTAGCCAGATGTGGTGCACACCTGTAATCCCAGCACTCAGGAGGCTGGGACAGGAGGCCCAGGAGTTTGAAGCCAGCCTAGGCCACATCATGAGTTCAAGGCAAACCTGAACTACATAGCTTGACACTGTCTAAAACAAGCAGACAAACAAAACTAAAAAAAAAATCCTTAATACAATGTTGAGGGATGGGCCTGTTTCTTGAAGATAGTGTAGCAATGCTTAAAACCTTTGGCCCAGGAATTCTACTTCTAGAACTTCATCCTAAGGCAATAATCATGGGCATGGATCAATTTTATGTACAAAGATGTTGACTGCAGCTTTACACACAATAGCATAGGATCTGAAAGCAAAGTAAATGTCCAGCAGTAAGGAAAACTTAAGTGAGAATAGTCTACCCACACATAGCTATTTAGGTTAATATTGGTAGGTTGGATTTTTAGAAGTGTTTTAAATATTAAAATGTCTTAAATATTAAAATAGAGTGGGCCAGGGATTTAGCTCAGTGGTTTTGCCGCCTGCCTCACAAGCACAAGGACCCAAGTTTGATTCCTGGTACCAAAAAAAAAAAAAAAAATTAAAATACAGTACGTGTTAAAAAAAACAATCCACCCCTCAAAAAAACCCAAGAGCACAGAAGTGTAAAAATAAAGGTTATTAGCTGGGTGTGGCAGCACATACCTGTAAGTCTAGCTCCTCTGGAGACTGAGGCAGAAGACCATGAGTTCAAGTTCAGCCTGGGCAGTTTAGCAAGATTCTATCTAAAGATAAAAAAATGAAAAGGGCTGGGGATGTAGTTCAGTGGTAGAGGACCCTTAGGTTTGATTCCCAGTACTGCAAAAACAAACTAAAAACCAAAGGCACGAGTCATTCTGTGTGATTGCTACAAGGAAGAAGAAGCTGTCGCACTCAGGTTGCTGAGCCTGGGCAACATGAACATGGGGCTTCCCATGGCTGCCCAAGCCGGAAGTGAGGAGTTAGTCCCAGAATGAAGCCAAGCATTGAGGAGCAGAGTTAGGTGGTGAGAAGGAAGGGCCGGGATATGGCCCTGGCTCGGTCCCTCAGGAGCCCGAAGCTGCTCCTTTTCAGTCTTTCCTGTTACATGGAACAACGCAGCCTTTCTGCCTTATCTTTAAACAGAGGGGTCAGGACTAATACATCTGGGCTAGCTGCTTTGCTAAAGTCAAGATATAATGACTTGTAAACCTCTCCTACTACTGTAGACAGCTAGGCTAGTTAGAAAATATTCTAAGGCTGTTAGGCTAGGCCGGGCCGGGCCAGGCGGGGCTGGGCTGGGCCAGGCCTCAGCACCGAAGACAACTGTGCCTGAGGCCCATTCACTGTAGGCCGGGCTTCCAGAGAAAGAGAAAGCGCTACACTTACACACCTCCCCAGAGATGAACAGCAGGGACTGATATTCTTCTAAACAGGCATCAGTCACCGGAGGAGGGGACCAAAACCTCCCCAGCCCAGGGGAGATTTCTTCACAGAAATCCTTGTTAGGTCAATGTACACTTGCTACGGGACTAGCTTCCCCATTTAATCAATATTACCTAAGCGACTATACTTGTAACCTTATTGTTTGGTCATAGTTTTGTCCCCACCTCATGATTTCCCATTGGATCAATATTACCTAAGCGACTATACTTGTAATCTTATTAGTTGACTGTACTTTTGTCCCATGTTGCACACACTTCACCTGTACCTTTGCTCAATAAAACACCTTTTTTTTTGGTACAAGGGATCAAACTCAGGACGTTTCCCTTGTGAGGCAGGCAACGGCACCACTGAGCTAAATCCCCGGCCCAATAAAACATCTTTGAGAAGTGGCAAGGGCAGGCAACCCACTTTCCGGTCCCTTTCTCTCAATAAATTCTTCCTACTCTAAACAAACCTCTGTTGTTCCTAGAACTCATTTTTCCATTTTAAGAACACGAACTTGGTGTTTTGGATATCTCGAAGGTTGGGAGTTGTATTTCCCTTATATTATTTGGATGTTCATAGGTCATATACCCTCTATCACTATCAGTCAATTCTTACAAAACTAAGACATTTATGGGAAGTGACCTTTTTTTTATTCCTTAGTCACAGATGGTTGTGGGAATAGACATTAAGTTTATTAAGGTATGATGGCATTTGGAACACATATTTTTACCATTTATGAAACTCAAGTATTTGCCAGGCAGGTGTGGTGTCACGAGCTACATCCCCAGCAGCAAGTATTTGTATTTAATCTTTTTGATTGTCTTTTGAAACAGGGACTTGCTGTGTAGTTGAGGCTGGTCTTGAACTCATAGCGATCCACCTGCCTCAGCCTCCTAAGTGTTGGGATTATAGCCGTGTGCTACCACGCCCCTCTATTTAATCTTAGTCCTCTCCTCTAATGTATTTTTGCAAAGATCATTAAAATAGGCTTTGGAGTTATAACCTAAAACTCAGTACACATCAGTCTAGACTTGAAGACTTTTAACCCATTTAAGACAATTTAGTACTTTCTATCTCTGCACTTATCTTTAGCAACTCTACCCAGACCTCTGCTGTAAGAGATCTGAGCAAACATTAGTTTGGTTTCTAGTAGCATAAGCCTGTGTTTGTAGGATAAGCTCACTCCTTGCTCCCCTAAAATGCCTACCTGAGAAAGGTAAACCCTGCCAGGAAACGTTACTATTTGTTCTCAATAGCACCTAACTATAGTCCCTCATCTCACTGCTCTATGGTAGAGCAGTTACCATATTTATGACAAAGGTGTAACTCTGAGATATAAGGAAACCCTATACTGTACCAGTGAGGGAGAACCTTTTAGAGACCCGAGTGCCAAACTGCAACCCAAAACTCACTTATTTATTACAGAGGGCCAACGATGAAGTTAAGGTTTTAGTTTAGAAAAAACAACTCATCCGTTAACATTTTTGTCTTAAAGTAAAACACAGTAAACACAGCCCATAGGTTCAACACCACTGCCCTATGTGGTACCTAAGGCTGAAGAAGAGTACCCTAAGAAGGACAAACTTGAAACAGGTTCAGACCCCCTTGGTGATGGAGTGGGCTGGTACCAAATCACAGAGAAGTACGCTGGCTCAGCGACAGTGGAGTGCTCTGCATTTGCTTGTAAAAAAACAGAATGTGGGGAGCAATCAGAATTCCGGTGTAGGCTGATGCAGGGTGAGTCCAGGAAACAGCAGAGGCAGAGGCCTTCAGAGAGCATGGGGACAGGGTGGAGTCAGGGAGGAGGAGAGGCTGCTGAGTGTGGCCGCAGGTGACTACAATGAGAAGGGTGAGAAAGGGATATTGGCGGGTTCAGAGGGCTGGGTCCTAGGCCTGTGGCTGAAGCACAGGGTACCAGGGGCTCTCAGGATCATCCCTCAACTCTGGCCCCCTTCAGGAAGTGCAGGGCGCCTCTTAGACACCCCTGCAGCACTCTGCTGAGGCTAACACTCAACTCACTTTAAGGGCAAAGACTTAATGGAATGTTATGCATAGAACCTACAATGAAGTGTGTACTCAGAGTGGAGGCAACAAATTGACAAAGGAGATAAGGATTATATGCAAAGTCTTTAAGATTTATGGGGTTTGGGACTCTCAGGGGTGAATAATCTGTCTGTGTGTGGCCTACAAACCAACCTAGGAATTTCAGTTTTTATAACCGGAAGTTCCCTATCAGTTACGTGTGTCCAATGTAAATAAGGACAATTCACAAAGTTATAAAGTGTAAAGTCTTCAATGTCCTTCAGTCACAGAGAGAGACACTTTTAAGAGTTTGGTGTTTTTCTTTCCAGGCTGCCAACAAATAAACAAACATATGATTAAAACGAAAAGAAATACCATTCAGACTCTTCAACTTCTTTTGCTTACTCTATCAAGGAATCAGTCAATCTTCTGGAGGCAGTAAATACAGATCACCGAATTAAAAAATTGAGTTCGAAAAGGATGAGATTTGGGGTGCTATTAAATTGGATCCTTGGATCCCTTGCCCCACTTCCCGGGCCCCCAGGCGTCGATTTTCACACAAGGTTCTCACCTGGCTCCGCATAGCGGGCAATGCAGCCCGGCAGGCGTCTCTGAGCTCCCCCTGGGCGCCGGGCCTGCGCCGTCACCACTCGGAGCCGCCCGGAGCTCCTCCCCGCACCGGCCCGCAGCCACGCCCTGCCCGCACCTGTCGCCGGCCCCGCCCGGGCCCCGCCCGGGCCCCGCCCACTGGAACGCTCCGTCGGACACGCCCGCCGGGCCACCCACCAACGGGCTCTGCCCACCTGGACTGAGCCTCGCGGTCCTACGCATCCCGCACTCCGCCCACCAGAGCATGTGCTGCTGGCCCCGCCCCCTTCAGTTCCGCCCACCCGGGCACCCCGGAATCACGCAGTCCTCTGCATCTCGGCCCCGCCCCGGGAACCCTCATTCGCTCTCCTCACTTCGGATCCGCCCCTTTGTCCTGGCTCCACCCACCGCCCCTACCGCCCAGTCCCCGCCCACAGGCCCGGAAGTCGCTGCGTCCGCCCCGGGTCCTGTCCGCCCCGGCGGTGGCGCGCGTGGCTCGGGCGGGCTGTTTCCGGGTCAGATCTGTGCGCCCTGCCCTGCCATGCAAGGCAACCCTGTCCCCGCCGCTCCGCGCTACCAGCCCGCCTGCCCCACGAGGGTCGCGTGTGTCTACAGCAGCTGCTACTGGTGAGGGGCGGGCTCGGCGCCGCGGGCCCGGACTGTGGGTCTCTGGTTGGCGGGGGGCGCGGGAGCCAAGGCTGGGCCTCGGGCGGGGCGGAGTGGGGGTCGCGTTTGCCTCCACCCGCGCTCTTGGTGGGACTTGCTCCGGGGTTGGGGCCGAGGAAGGGGAGTCGGCGCGGAGGGCGGAGGCCAGAAGCCAGAAGGTTCTGTCGAACCTGTGTGATTGCAGGTTGAGATGCAGGTCGGTTTGGATTTGGCAGGAAGAGCGGCATAGAGAATTTGAGGGAGTATTCCCAAGGGTACCCGGCTGCTAGCAGTCGGGAGAGCAGGTGTGGCCCCGGACACCCGGTGTTAACCGCTGTGCTGTCGTAATGATGTTACGTTTGTGCTGCGCGATGTTTAGGAAGGCTTAAGTCGGCCGACTCGCGTGAGCCCCACAGCAGCCCCAACTACTGTTGTGCTTCCACTTTGAAGATGCGAGCACTGAAGCTCAGACCGATGCAGGTAATTGCTCAAAGCCTCCCTGGAGTCCAGGCCCTGCCCCGCTGCCCTAGGCTGCCCTGCAGCTGAAGCTGTACTCTACCTCGGCCTTCTTCTCTCCCACACCTGCCCTCTCCTTTCCTGAGCAGTGACTTCTTCCCCGACGGGGAGGAACCTCGGGACCTTGTAAGTCCATCCTTCTCTCTGCTGGTCACTAAGCCAGTGCCAGTAACAGCTTAACATTTGCTCAGCTTTGACCACCTCAGCAGGTGCTTCCATCCAGGCCCAGGAGACAGATTCTGTGAATGTTGTTATCCTTATTTTGCTAATGAAAAGCCACAGAAATGCTGTTTGTTATCATTAAAGGCTCTAAAAGGTTTGCCATCACTGTCCCGAATTCTTTGTTTCTGTCTCTAACATTCATTCACTGTTTTACTCATCCATTCTGTGAGACCTAACTAACTCCATTTTAAAGTTTGACTCCATCTTAAAATAAGACAGTGAAGTGGCCTTGACATAAATTCCACTTCAGTGAAGTCAACTATTCCCCTAGTCTCCTTTGTGCCCATAAAATAATGATAAAATGTCCTTGCTGTGGAACAACAGATTAAAAAAAAAAACACAGCTCCTAACTCAATTCTCTGTCTGCCCAGAAAACAGATGCTCCCGGGCCCATTATCTATAGAACATTCTGTCAATGTGCTGATTGTTCCTTTTTCCCATAAATTCTACATGTAGCCACCCCTCAACCCCCCATGCTTGCTAAATATCAACCAATCATGTAACTGCTAAATGGAACATCCCCAAACCTTGCGGTAGCCACAATAAAAACCCTGCTGATTTGGAATTCGGGGCTCTCAATCCTGATCCGCTGTGTCGGTGACGGTTGAGTGCCCCTGCTCGAGCTTGAATAAACGACCCTCGTGTGTTTACATCGGAATCGGCTCCTTGGTGGTCTTTGGGGACTTCGCGATCTGGACACAACAATTCAACAGATGTTTGTTAGGGGTTCTGTGCATAGCTGCACCAGACGGCCTAATAAAGCCTCTTTCAGATGGCAAAACAAAACAAAACATGTTTCTTAAGTACTTGGATTGTATGGTGCATGATCTAGGCACTAGGGATATAGCAGTGAACGAAACTGATAACTTCCCTGTTGAGATCTCATAGTCCTACATTTTGATGTGGGAAAAGCAGACCAAAACAGGTAAATCCTGTTTAGGCAATGGTGCTGCGAGGACGGGAGAAAGTGGAAGATGGTGACTCATACTGTTTTACGTGGGCACATTTAAGGAAGGTGGGTTGGTGGGGGATACTGAACAGATCTGCAGACGTAGAGGGTTCGAGCTTTGAGGTGAGTGGAGGAAGTCTTCAGGCAGGGAGAGTGGCAGGCGAGAAGGAAGCAGGGACACGAGGGTGGCAAGGTTGGAATGACCTGGTGGAAGATGACAAGAGATGAATGTCTCCTTGGGAGATGAGTTCTTTTTAGTTCCATCAGCTAGGGGTCAGGGCCTCCTCTTCCACCATGGAGACTATTGCAGTTGCTTCCTTACAGGCCTGTCTTCCTGGCTCTCATACCCAGTCAAGTATTTACCCTTTGCTGACTTTGCACTGTCCACAACTGTCCTAAATACGAATGTACTGCAGAATCATGAGAGAGCTTCGAAAACCTGAAGATCTTATGGTTCTACCCTAGAGGGTCTGGGCCTGTAAGTAGCACAGTGGAGGAGTTGGAGGCTACTCAGCTCATCACATTTCCGGGGACATAGGCACAGATGAGTATCTTCTGAGCGCAGCAGGCTCTTCCTAGATCTGGTTGTTGTTCTTCTGACCTTGTTTTGAAGCTGCCTCCTCAGTTCTAAGGCAGGGTTCCTCAACCTTCCCCCTGCTCATGTTTGGAGCGCGGCCGTTCTTTATGTGGTTCTAGCTCATGTACTGCATCATCCCTGGTGTCTTACTTTCCTCGTCACTGGGACACTTTATGTGACATCCACAACCTATAGGAGGAGAGGTTTATTTTGGCTCCTGCTTTGGTCCATAGTTGGCGGGCTCCAGAGCAGCAGCATGGTGGAGGAAAGCTGCTCTTGGTGACAGGAAGAAGAGAGCGTGAAGGGAGGAGCCAGGAAGGGAGAAACTACGTCCTTCCAGGTCACACTCCCAGTGACCCACCTCTTCGAGCCAGACCCACCTTCAGCAGCAAGCCAGGGCACACCTCTATAACCCAGTCACCTTCCGAAAGCACCCTGTGAGCACGTGAGGCTCTTGGGGGAAGTCTAGCTAGAAGCCATGAGACCTGGGCTCTACAGGCTGATGCTTTAGCACTCGCTTCCCAGTGGTGACAACCCAGGATAGTGGAGCCATTGCTAAGTGCTCTTTTGGGGGACAAGGCCAGCTGTGGTTGAGGACCAGCACCCTGCCCTGGCTGAGCATGTCAGGTGGGGGCACCTTGCTGCTTTTGCTCCTGCACCTTCTAACTTGAAAGAAATGCCTCTTCTCTTTCTCTTAGCTTCTGTCAGCTGTTACTTATCTTTTCATCCCCTATTTAACGAAAATAATGGCAGCCAATGTTTCTATGGTACTGTGTAGGGTTTTATTTATTTATTTAGCCTATTTTAAAAAATTAGTACGTGTTTGCCATACATGATGATCACATTCATCAAAGGGGATTTGTCCCTGTACATTATATATCTTAATTCTTATTTTTCCCACTCCCTCCCCTCCCATTAACCCTTCCTCTCCTCCCCATTTACAAAGCTGTTTCCATTTTTTCCCTTCCACTGTCTATTTAAAAAATTTTTTCTCTTCCTGCCCTTTCTTCCCCCCTGTCCCATTTGAACATGTTCTTTCTGCTTCCCAATATCTATCCTCCAGTTTGCTCCCTATTTACTCTTTGTGTTTCTCACACAAGAGAACCAATGCAATATTTAAATTTGTTTTTCTGATGTACTGTATTTTACTTAAAATTAGTCTTGAGATGCATCCATTTACCTAAAAAATGTCTCAAGTTTATCCTTTATGTCAGAGTAGTACTCAATTGTATATCAAAACCACATTTTCTTTATCTGTTTATCTTTTGATGGGCATATGGGCTGTTTCCAAGATTTAACTATTATAAATTTTGCTGCTATAAACATGGGTGTGCATATATCACTGTGGTATGATGCTTTTAACTCTTTTGGTATGATAACTAGAATAGGAATGGCTAGGTCAAATGGAACCTCTAGTTTTAGTTTTTTGAGGTATTTCCTTACTGATTTCCATAGTGGTTGCACCAGTCTACACTCCCAGGAACAATAGCGAAGGTTTCCTTTTTCCTCACAGCTTTGCCAGCATTTGTTATTGGTTGAATTCTTTTTTTTTTTTTTTTTGGTTGAATTCTTGATGATAGCCATTCATTTTGGAGTGAGATGGAATCTCAGTGTTGTTTTAATTTGCATTTGTCAAATGACCAGGAATGTTGAACATCTTTTTCATGTATTTATTTTCTGTTTGTACTTCTTCATCTGAGAAGTGTGTATTCATTTCAGATGCCTATTTTTGGACTGGTTCTTTCAATTAGAGGGATTCTGATTTTTTGAGTTCTTTATATATTCTAGATATTAGTCCTTGGAGAAATAGTTGGTAGAAGTTTTTTTTTCCCCATTCTGTGGGTTGTTGCTTCACTCTGTTGTTGATTTCTTTCGCTGTGCGAAAGCTTTTTAGTATGATGAGATCCCAGTTGTTGACTCTTTGTAATATTTTCTGTGTGATCAGGGTTTTGTTCATGAAGTCTTTGCCTACACCAATGCCTTCAAGAATTTTACCCCTTCTCTCTTGCAGCAGATCTACTGTTCCTGTTTTAATATTTAGATCTTTGATCCATTTTGATTTTAGTTTAGTGCATGGTGAGAAATATGGGTCTAGGTTTAATCTTCAGCATGTGGAAAGCCAGTTTTCCCAGCACCATTTAGTTGGAGGGTTTCTCTTCATAGTCCAGGCTGGCCTTGAACTCACTATGTAGCCCAGGCTGACCTTGAACTCACAGCGATCCTCCTACCTCAGCCTCCCAAGTGCTGAGATTTTACAGGTATGTGCCACTCCCAGCACCATTTATTAAAAAGGCTATCTTTCTTCCAGTGAAGATGTTTGGCCCCTTTGTCAAAGATGAGGTAGCTGAGGGTGCTTGGAGTTGTATTTGTGTCTTCTACTCTGTTCCATTGATCCTCTGGTCTGTTTTTTTTTTTTGCCAGTACCATGCTGTTTTTATCATGGTAGCTTTGTAATATAACTTCAAATCAGGGATTGCAATATCCTCTGCCTTGCCTTGTTGCCCAGAGTTGCTTTTGCTATTCCAGGTCTCTTGTTCCAAATGAATTTTAGGATTGTTCTCTAGTTGTATGAGGTATGCTCATGGTATTTTGATTGAGATTGCATTAAATCTGTGTAACAGTTTTGGAAGTATGGCCATTTTCACTATATTGGTTCTGCCTATCCAAGAACAGGGGATATATTTCCATTTTTTGATGTCCTCTTCAATCTCTTTTTGCAAAGTACAGTTATGCCTCTCAGTTCATGAACTTATTTTGTTCCACGATTCTGGAAAAGATGCCCACATTTGTGTTCATGTGGGAAAGATGGCCCTGGTCATTTGTCACCTGATGCAGAGTTAGCAAACAGAAACAAAATTATGCCAAATGCTTCTGTTTGTGAACCGAATTGTTTGAAAAAAAAAGCGATCATGAACTAAGGTACCACTGTACTGTAGTTTTCAATGAAAAGGTCTTTCACTTCCTTTGTTAGATTGATTCCTAGGTTTTTCCTTTTTCTTGATGGTATTATGAAAGGTGTTCTTTTCTTTTTTTTTTGGTACCAGGGATCAAACCCGGGTCCTTGTGCTTGCTCAGCAGGCGGCAAAACCACTGAGCTAAATCCCCGGCCCTAAAGGTGTTGTTTCTCTTTTGGTGTTGATTTTTAAAAAATTTTTTTGGTACTGGGGATTGAACTCACGACCTTGTGTTTGTGAGGCAGGTGTGGTGCCACTGAGCTAAATCCCTGGCTCAAAGGAAAGTGAGGTTTCTTTCTTTTTCTTTTTTTTTTTTCTGGTACCAGGGATCAAACTGGGTGTTGACATTGTATCCTGCTATGCTGCCAAATTTGGTTAGGAGTCTTTTGGTGGAATTTTGGGGGTTTTCTATGTAGAGTATCATGTCATCACCACATAATGATAATTTAACAACTTTTCATATCCATATCCTTTTATTTCTCTTGTCTAAGTGCTCTGGCTAGTGTCTCTAGAACTATATAGAATAAGAGTGGTGACAGTGGACATCTTTGCTTTGTTTCTGATTTAGAGTGAAAGCTTTTTAGTTTTTGTCCATTTAGCATGATGTTGGCTGTTGGTTTTATCAGGTTGAAACAAAGACCTTCTATTCCAGTTTTCTGTGGGGTTTTTATCATGAATGGGTGTTGAACTTTGTCAGATGCTTCTTCTGCATCTATTGAGTTGATCATGTGGTTTTTGTCCTTGGCTCTGTTAATATGATCTATTACATTTATTGATTTGCATATGCTGAACCATCCTTTATCCGTGGGATGAATTCTTCTTGGTCATGGTGTATCCTCTTCTCGATAATTTGCTGCATTCTGTTTGCCAAATATCTTATTGAGGATTTCTGCATCTATGTTCATTGGGGAGATTGGCCTATAGTTCTCTTTAATGAGTTTGAGGAGTAGTAGCATTAAATCCTCTCTAAATTTCTTGTAGAATTCAGCAGTGAGTCTATCAGGACCTGGGCTTTTCTTTGTTGGTAGGGGGTTTTTCTATTAGGTTTTTTTTTTGTTTTTTTTTTGTATTGGGGATCGAACTGAGGACCTTGCACTTGTGAGACAGGTGCTGGAGCCACTGAGCTAAATCCCCGGCCCTTTTTTTATTACTTCTTGAATTTCATTGACTGATATCAGATTGTTTAGAATTTTTATATCTTCTTGATCAGCTTTGGAATTTTGCTTCTTATTAGAGTACATACTGTCAAAGTAGGTATTGATGATCTTCTGGATTTCTGTATAATCTGTTGTGATTTTACCCTTTTCATTTTTAATTGCATTGACTTGAGTCTTTGCTTCCCTTGTTTTGATGAGGTTGGCTAATGGTTTGTCTGTTTCGTCTTTGAAAGAACCAACTTTTCGATTTGCTGATTCCTTGTATTGTTTTCTTAGCCTCAATTGCATTAATTTCTGCTCTGATCTTCAGTTTGGCTTTAGATTTAGCTTATTTTTCTACAACCTTGGGGTGTATGTGGACCTACACTGCAGGTTGGGTAGCAGCATGTTGGCGATGTTTTAGAGGAGTTTCAGACATTAGCCAGCTGTTGGATGAGAAGATGTCTAAGGGTTCTTCCAATTCATTTTATGTCATCAATCTTTTGTTCAAATCTGAAAGACACAGAGTGTTCACTTTTAATTATATTGATCAAACCATTGTTTTATTTCAGTGAAGAAAATATTTGGAAGCTCTGCGAATACATCAAAAACCATGACCAGTATCCTTTAGAGGAATGTTACGCTGTCTTTATATCAAATGAGAAGAAGATGGTAAGTTGGTGAGTGATTGCTGAAAGAAATCGAGATTTTAGGATTACTTTAGAAGCTAACATGGCATAGTTTAGTACTGTTGTAAGTTGTGTCTTTTAAATACAGCAACATTGTAAAGTTAGATTTTTTTTGTTTTTTTGAGACAAGGACTCACTATGTAGTTCAAGTGGCCTTGAACTTTCTATGTAGCCCAGGCTGGCCTCGAACTCACAGTGATCCTCCTGCCTCAGCCTCCCAAGTGCTGGGATTACAGGCGTGTGCCACCATGCCCAGCTAGTTAGTCTTTTTTTGTACTGGGAGTCAAACTCAGGGCCTCACGCTTGCCAGGAAGGCGCTGTGCCACTGAGCTACACACCCAGCATGGCTGTTTAGTTTTTGAATGAGATTTACTTTTTTCCTTGTAGGGCACAGTTGAGTTGGAAATATTTAGTCCCTTGTTTGTAGACTTGTAGTTAAGGAACTATATGTAAGAGATTGTGATAGTCTGTTTAGACAGATTGAGTCTCTTAGATGTTAAAGAGCTTTTTTCTTTGGAGTGTATTGGAGATTGAATCCAGGGGTATTCTAACCTTCTTTTTTTTTTTTTTTTTGGTACCGGGGATCAAACTCAGGACCTTGTGCTTGCAAGGCAGGCGGCAGCACCACTGAGCTAAATCCCCGGCCCAACCTCTAACTCTTTTGTGTCTTTTGAGATAGGGTCTCATTGCATAGGCTGGCCTGGAACTTGCAATCCTCCTGCCTCAGCCTCCTAACTAGCTGGAATTGCAGGTGTATACCATCACACCAGGTTTAATTTATGTTCTTATGAGTTTTCTTTGTTGAGAATTCTTATAGGGAGAAGGATCTGGATTTCTTTTTATTCATTCTTTCACCTTGATTGTTAGTTGATTAGAAATATTTTCTATTCGTGTACTGCATTAAAGAATCTAGTAGTGATTTAGCTGCAGCTTGTGGGAAATACTGTGTTTTATAGATACCTATCTGGAAGCAGCAGGCAAGACCTGGAAATGGACCTGTGATCTGGGTAAGACAGCCGGCCTGTTCCTGAGCATCCCATGCACCATCCCTTGCAGGAAACCAGCCTGCTAGGACTGCCTAACTGGAGGCGGCGAATGGAGATTAAAGACAAGACAGATAATTTTGAAAGAGGGGCCAGGGACTCTGGCCTCCAGTGGATAGAGAGCCCTGAGTGTCTGGCTCGCCTTGCCTTTATTCACCTTCAGCAAGGGAGCAAGCAGTTAGGTTAATGGAAAATTCATCTGTTTCTCATTATTTGCAAAGTGTGCCCAGGTAAGCATTTCTCTGAACTAGAGCTCAGCCTTTGTTGATTTCACTGAAATTTGCTGGCACATTGCCAAAGGAGGATCAGCTCGCTGTCCCTCTTTTGTGTCCACAGGGAAGGTCAACTGGGCCTCGATCCTTATGCCTAGTTTCCCACAATTCCCTGTGACCTCTGAGGGGTATGTATGCTCTGTTAAAGCAGAATTGATAGGGACAGAGAGAAAGGCCATGGCAATTATTAATAAATGGATTGTTTGAAAATAGATGTTAGGGCTGGAGATTTAGCTCAGTGGTTTCGCTGCCTGCTGCGCAAGTGCAAGGACCCGAGTTCGATCCCGGGTACCAAAAAAAAAAAAGAAAATAGATGTTATTTGGTCTAAGGTAGGACTACTGGGATATTTTCTTTTCTATTAACTTTTTTTTTTTTTTTTCAGTACTGGAGATTGGGAGATTGAATCCAGGACCTATGCTCCCAGCCATTTTTTAGTTTTTTATTTTGAGGTCTTGCTAAATTGTGACTCAAACTTGGAATCCTCCTGCCTCAGTCTCCCAGAGTACTGGGATTACAGTTGTTTGCCACCATATCCTGCTTTTTAAAAGTTTTTATTTTGGGATTATTATAGGAATGGTTTCATTTTATTTTATTTTTTTGGTACTGGGGATTGAACTCAGGACCTTGTGCTTTCGAGGCAGGTGTGGTGCCACTGAGCTAAATCCCTGGCCCTAGGAATGGTTTTAGGTTTTGTTTTGTTTTTTTGGTACTGGGGATCAAACTCAGGACCTTGCACTTGTGAGGCAGGAATGGTTTTAAATGGCCAGTGTGGGAGATAATATTTGTGATCTTCAAGACATTTAATTTATTTTTGTTTTTTGAGACAGGGTCTTGCTGTGTAGTCAGGCTGACCTTGAGCTCACTATGTATCCCAGATTGGCCTTGAGCTCATGGTGATCCTCCTGCCTCAGCCTCTTGAGTGCTGGGATTACAGGTGTGTGCCACCACGTCCAGCTCTCATTTATTTAGCCTGTGCTTATTGAATGCCTTTTGTATGCTACACATAAAACGGACTAAAGCCCTGGCTGTGCTTGCTTCCTGTGCCAGCATCTGCTCATCATCAAGCCACAGCCCAGCCTGTCAGTACCTGGAGGAGTGTTGGGACCCCGTCCTCCTGCTGGTCAGCTGTGTGCCTGGACAGGTTATGTGGCCTGTCTCTTTAGTGTGCCCTCAGGTTGTGATGAGGTAATGTAGAGGAAGCTTAAGAATGTTGACGTCTGGTTCTCAGGAAGGCAAGCCGTGGTTGGCAGTGCGGCAGACCCCAGTGTAGGCTGCTCCCTTGCTGACCCACTTGGCTGACTTCCGGGTGTGGTCTCGCTCTGTTGGATTGCAGGGAAGGGACCTGTGGTCACTGTCCCTTGTGCCGCAGCTTGCGGCACCGTGGAGGGATTCTGCTCCTGTTCATCTCCCTACACCGGCAGAGGCCACCCTGCCCCCATGCTGTGCTGCTGAAGGAGGTGGGTGGGCCTTGGTGAGTGGGAAGAGACATGGAGCCCTGAGGAACAGGTCCCCTGCAGGTGGGCTTTGCTCCCCAGCTCGGACAATCCTCTCTGGCCAGCTGAGTGGACACGGAGCCCCTCAGAGTGAGGCCACTGCTGGAGTCTGCGTTCTCTGACTCAGTGCTCAGAAGGCCCGCTTCCCCTAGGACCAGCCGCGTGCAGTGGAGGGCTGTTGGGTGGCCCCTGCAGGTGCTTTTCACGAGTTGTGTCTTTCTCCTGGAAAGCTCTCCCTTTAGGCAACCGTTAGCCATTCCATCACTTCTATGTGGTGCTATCCTTGGCAAGGCACCCCCATCCCCTCTGTTCCTTGACAGGATTTTGAAAAGGCTGAGCATTTGCGCACTACTCCCAGTATGCTGTGAGGTAGAGGCCTAGTGATCTGCCCTTGATAGAGAGGAGACTGAGGCTGGGAAGTGGAGAGGCTGGGCTTCGAGCCCGGCCGTTACCTGCCCTAACCTGCACATCCTCTTGTCTTCTGTCTGTCCACACTGAGCCTCCCTGCCTGCTCTGCTGGCTCCCTGAGGGAATGGACTTGCCCTTTTCGTTTTCGTATCTGCCGCTCAGCGGTAGTCTTCCATGAACAGTAAGGAAGATATGCTTCAGAAAAACAGTTGAAGGGGGCAGGAGAGAAACAGACTGGGTAAGGCAGAGATTATATCTGATGGGTGTGTGAAGACTGAGAAGGATTCACGAGGAGAAGGCCTTTGAGCTGGAGCTTGTGTGGTCAGGAGAGGTGGAGGAAGTGGTCGTGGTGAGGGGAATGGGTAGCCAGGCAGAAGGAAGTGGGGGGCTTTAGTTTGTTCATCTGGAGCACAGGATGCATTAACAGGAGTTTGGGGTGTGTGCTCCATGTTTCTGCTTTACTAGAATGGAGTTGGAGCCGAAGAAAGCACTGGGGCTCTGGTGACATTTCTGGTCTCAGTTGTCTCTCACCTCACAGGAGCTTTGCAGTGCTCACATGGAATAATGGAGAATGTGCTTAGGAAACTCGGAGAACAGTGCTGGGAATGGAGGGTGGCCCAGCTGAGGCTAGACTGGGCATTGGATGTGTGTTCTCAGTGGCGAGCACTTTTCTTCGGAGGAGCTGAAGCACCAGCCTGCACTTGGGCTCCCTGATGATCCTGGAACCCTTTCAGCCCTCTGCTGGCGTTGGCGGCGGCTTCTGTCTGGGAGTGAGAAGGAAGAGCCAGAGCTGTCTGATCCTTCTCCTTTCCTGGCTTCAGATGAGGCCTGCTTGGCTTTTCTTTCTTGTGATTAGAAAAGTAGTACAAAGCTGGAAATGAGCTGGGCATGGTTCTGCACACGTGTAATCCCAGTGCTCTGGGAGGCTGAGGCGGGAGGGTCCCAAGTCTGAGCCTAGCCTGGGCAGAGCTTAGTGGGACCCTGTTTCAAACTAAAAATAGGCAGGGAATGTAGCCCAGTTAAAGGGCCTGGCTCAGTCCCCAGTACCGCACCCCCAATGTGTGTGCGTGTGTGTATTATACTGTTATATACATATCTTCTGCAAGTCACTGTTTTATGTTTAGCTACATGGACATTTTCTACATAAATTTGCCTCTTTTTGTTTGTTTGTTCGGTTTTTGGTACTGGGAACCGAACTTAGGGCCTTATGCCTCTTTCTTTCTGTCTGTATGTCTTAGTTACTTTTCTCATTGCTGAGACAAAATACCCAACACCCAAAGTTAATGGAGGAAAGGCTTATTGTAGTGCACCGCACCATTTGTAGAGGTTTCAGTTCATAGTCGGGTGGCTCCAAGGCAGAGGGGCATCACAGAGGAGGATCAGCCCATGAGAGCAAAGAGTGAAGCAGCAGCAGCAGCCTGCCTCTCCCTCCTATCCTTTCCAGGATACCTGCCCTTTGGGTGGTGCTAGCCACACCCAGGCTGGGCCTTCCCATTATCCACATGCAGAACTATGTCAAACCAATTGTGGATCCATTTAATAATCACACACCCTAGAGCCAACCACCTCTGAAAAGCCCCACCTATGACTGCATGAGCTTTCGGGGACATCTAGACACAACCATGATACTTTCTTTCTTTCTTTCTTTTTGGTACCAGGGATCAAACTTGGGACCTTGCAGTTTGGAGGCAGGCGATGGAACCACTGAGCTACATCCCCGACCCTGAATGTTTAAATTAAATAAAAAAGAATTACAGGGCCAGGGATTTAGCTCAATGGTTCCGCCGCCTGCCTCGCAAGTGCAAGGTCCCGAGTTCGATCCCCAGAACCAAAAAGAAAAAGAATTACAATGAAAACATTGCCAAGAACAATGGGACAAATATGTTCAAAGTGAGGGGGAATATTTTGCCAATATGTGTTTTACTGTAAAAAGGGTTTTTAACATTTACTGTACTTTTTGATCACTCTCACTTACCAACTGTTTGCAGCAGTTTCTGTCAAATAAAATCATTGTGGTGTGTCTTTATGCACCTTATCACCATGGATTTGGCACCATGCATCTTCTGACTTCCTCAAAGTAATAATGACCATGCAAGGTAAATGTTTTGAATCCATTTAGGACGTGAGGCAGCCATTAGGATGCAACTAAAGACTCTCATGAAAGAGGACTTCCAGAACTGATTCAAAAAGTGGCGAGAATGATGGGATATGTGTGTTCGAAGGAAGGGAGAATATGTGAGGGGGATTAATGGCAATGATTTTTACTGTAATAAATTTTAAAATTTGTAAACATTCACCATATTTTTTGATCATGCCTCGGCATAGCTCATGACATTGAACTCACTATGTAGCCCAGGCTGACCTTGAAGTCCTGGTCCTCCTGGCTTAGGCTCCTGAGTACTAGGATTGCCACTATACCCAGCTGACATAATTTCTTTTGGTAGCTGCTTAATTGTCTACTATAAGACTCTATCATAGTTTATTAACCATTCCTCTCAGTGGATTTTGTGTTGTTTTGGAATTTTCACTATTATAAACAATGCTGCAGAGATTATATATATATATTTTATATATAATACATTATATATACAGTATACCTTTACTTGCTTATGACTATTTTTCTGTATGATAGTTTCCTAGAGGTAAAATTGTTGAGTCAGTTTAACCATTTCCCTGTCACTGGACATTTGTTCTAGTTTCCGAGTTTTGTGCGGGCTTTATTTTCTTTTGCTGTTACAAGGTGGGCCGTGTTAGCGTTGTATTTTGTCTGTTTTTGTGATAATACATGTGCGCTGACACTGGCACCTTGGGGTTCATCATCCTAGAGCAAATTGGTTAACTTCAGCCGTTTTTACTTCCAGGATTACCATGTTGTTTTGCTTCACGTTTCGAGTGGAGGACAGAGCTTCATTTATGATCTTGATACTGTGTTGCCATTTCCTTGCCCCTTTGACACATATGTGGAAGATGCCTTTAAGTCTGATGATGACATTCATCCACAGTTTAGGAGGTGAGGAAATTCAGGGTGAATTTATTGTTGGGCACACAGAGGTTCTCTTTTCACATTGAATTTGTAAAGATCACTTCCTTTGGGTATAGCACTGAGTTGATATTTGAAAATGATGCACTTGTCGCATGGGAGATTGAAATACATTAGAGCTATAAAGCTTGTCTGCCATACAAAAGGTTGACAGTCTTTTAAAAATTTGTGTGATAAGATCTTTCAGGCATTTGGGGATTTCTCATACTCTTGTTTGGGGAGATGGGGCTGCCTCATGCTGCCAAAATTGAGACAGTTGCAAAGGCAACACTAGAAAATCCTGCTCTTTGTCCCTGATGTGCAGTTGAATAAATAAAAGAACTAGACAGATGTATTCATGTACCTTTGCAGCTGTGGATTGCATTTCCCATAGCCTTTTTTTTTTTTTTTTTGGTACCAGGGATCGAACTTGGGACCTTGTGCTTGCGAGGCAGGTGGCAGAACCACTGAGCTAAATCCCCGGCCCTCCCATAGCTTTTTTAATAGGTGCAAAACTGTACGTGTATTTCTCCATTGCTAAAGTAAAAACCATGCATGAGTAGCTTTGTGTACGCCATGGAAAATGAGTCCATATAAAAACTGAGTTAGAATTTCAAATGTGACACCTCCCTAATGTGCTGTGTTCTGATTTATCTACAGGAAATTTAGAGTGATCCGTGCCGATTGCTATTTGAAGAACTTTGCTTCTGACCGGTCTCACATGAAAGACTTCAGTGGGAACTGGCGGGAGCCTCCCCCACCTTATCCCTGCATCGAAACTGGAGGTGAGTCGGGGAGGCTCCTGGAGGTTTCTGATCCATCACTGCAGATCGCCTGTCCCCTCAGCAAGGACGATCAGGTCACTGTTCGGATGAAACTGAGCATTGAGGAAGTACTAGATCTGTGTATTTACTAGATTCAGAAATTAGGCACAAGGAGCAGGAATGGGAGGCATGAAAACTCCGGGAAGGAAGGAGCTGTAGCACTAGCGGTCTGCTGGATTGCTGGATGTGCCTGCTGCCTGACCCTGGGCATCGGATCTGCACACCTGTCGCTCTCAGTGGGACTAGCACTTTGCCACGATGGGGCTTCATCTTACAGAGAAAAAAATCGCCCGTATGTCCCTCTGATCTGTGAAATGCCGTTTCATTGACTTTGTAATAAAACCTGCATTAGAAGGAGGCGAGAGCTTGGAGGTTTTATGTGTTTCACTTGCTTCATGTACGTGTTTCCAGGCAGCAGTCCAACTGATAATTTCCTGAGTTGTAAGAGATAGGTTCGTTCACCCCTTTACTGTTGTCTGCCACTCATACGTGTTCGGAACCTTGTTTATGACTGCAAGTCTTTCGCAACATTCCCACTTACGGGTGAGCTCATCCAACACCTGGCTAATACAGTCTATGGGATTGCACGAGAGCAGTGATGGCGAACTGTTCAGAGCTTTCAGTGATTTAGGCAGTCTGCCATGGCACATGTGCCATAGGTTTGCCACCACTACTCTAGAGGCTGTTGCAGGATGCCAGAAGAATAGGGACAATAGGATTAATAGTTTAATGAAAAAAGTAAAACGTGTTTACATATTTGAAGGTAGTAAGTGCTTATAGAGGGTTTGGACTCGATATTTTACGTTCCCTTTAAAAGCTCTCATTATTTCAAAAACTCACTGCTTCTTGGTATACCAGCTGCTTCCCAGCTTAGCATTAGAACTGGGGAACAGCTAGGTTAGCCGAGGGCCTGCTGGTCTGTCGTATAGACTTCGTTAACTGCCATGCTGTGCTGACCCAGGCACGGTGCCTTCGGCAGTGGCCCACTGCTCTTTCAGATGTGGCTCCCTAAGAACTTAGTGCATGGTAGACATTTAAAAAGCTCGGCTTTGCCAGCCCTCGTCTTTTGTTGCCATTCCTTTGGTTTTGACAACCACAACCCATTAGGTGCCATTTTATGCCAGGCATGAGCAGCCCCTTAACATTTTAATTTTTGTCACCACCCCGGGAGGCAGGCACTGGTTTGCTCATGGGATAGATGGGTCACATGGAGCATGTGAGGCAGAGTCCTTCCTGTGAACGTGGCCCTTGGGATGGCAGTGTTGGTGAGCTGTTTGTCCCAGAGGACTGATTTCTGACCAGTCTTTTCTAGCCATGTAAGTGGTTAGTTCACCAAGGGCCTCTTGAGCCTGAGGTTGAATCTGAAAGGAAGGTACTCTGAAGTGTGGGGTACCCACGCTGGCTTCTCATGGAATTACTTAACCAAATTTTAACATCTGTCTTGTGGTAAATGTATTAACTTCAAACCCTGTCTTTGTCAAAGGAACATAGTAGAAAATAAGATAAGTGTGAATTACTAATAGCTAATTAGTAGTGTTTTATAAAAATAAAGGTCTGAAAAGATTCAAGAAGACAAAGTTAAAAAAAGACAAAGTTTAAATGAAAGCATGTTTTAAATGTATGCATTAATAGTGATACTTTTACTCAGCTCCTTGCATTTAGTTATAGGAGTGATTCTTATGACAAAAAGTTTAGTGTATTTGATATGTTGTATATTGAGATTAAACACTTTTTGTGAAACAAAACATTGGTACATTTTAGATATACATAATGATCACATTCATCATAGGGAATTGGTAGCTATGCGTGATGTGTCTTGCTTCTTCTTTTCCCATTCCCCTCCCCCTCTTAGCATACACATTTGATAAATATCAGTGGCTGTGTCTGTCTGTGGGACCACTGCTTTCTACTCAGCATTTAATGTTGCTTTGTTTTGTTTTTGTTGTTGTTGTTTTGGTACTGGGGATCGAACTCTGGACCTTGTGCTTGGGAAGCGGGCACCAGAACCACTGAGCTAAATCCCCGGCTGTTTTGTTTTTTTGGGACAGGGTCTCACTATGTAGTTCAGGCTGGCCTTGAACTCACTATGTAGCCCAGGCTGGTTTCCAACTCACGGCAGTCCTTCTGCCTCAACTTCCCAAGTGCTGGGATTGCAGGCATGTGCCAACACACCCAGCATAGCATTTAATGTTTTTAAAAAAAGAACTGTTTTTTTTCTCTTGGAAGTACATTTACAGTGGGAATGTGAATTATGCCTGCTTTGTGGTGCATTCTTCCTGGCCTCATGAAGTTTCACTCCATATAAAAGACAGGATTAGTACTTGTCTGAAGACTAGGAAGTTCCCTCTGGACAGCTCCCTCTTCTCTGATCCTCTGCATCCCCCACACCCCAGATCCTACCAGTGGGTACTTGGACCCTCCCAGATCTGATTTCTGTCTTCTCAACTTGGAGATGGCCAAGCTGCTTATGTCCCTGCTCCCCGAAGTACCCAGGCATGGTCCCACATTCCCTTCACTTATTTTTGTTCCTGTGCTGTGTCTGGGAACAGTTGCTTCTATTTCATCCAGTTTTCTAGTATTTTATTGTAACATTTCCTGTAATAGTTCTTTGCTGAGCAGAAACAGAAATCTGTACATACTTTAATATTATTATTTTTGGTGGTACTAGTGATTGAACCTGGGACCCTGCACATGCTAGGTAAGGACTCTACGACTGAGCTACATCTTTGGTCCCAAAAGGACTTTAATCTGGAAAATGTAAGTCATGGACAAGAGCAGACATGTTAGTGCATGTTATCGTAACAGACTCCCAACACTACTGAAGCTCCGGGCCAGCTGTTTGGTTGTATCCCATCTACTTTGTTCCTCCTACAGACTTGGAAGTGAATCTGAGATATTATGAACTTTTGACTCTGTAAATATTTTAGTATGTATCTAAAATATAAAAGTACCTTTTTTACAGATTTTTTTCTTTTTTTTGTACCAGGGATCGAACTCAGGACATTGCGCTTGTGAGCAGGTGCAGTGCCACTGAGCTAAGTCCCCGGCCCTTAAAAGCACCTTTTTCAAAATAAGCCACAGGGTCGGGGATTTAGCTCAGTGGTTTGCTGCCTGCCTCACAAACACAAGGTTCCAAGTTCAATCCCCAGTACAAAAGAAAAAAAAAAGCCACAATGCCATTGCTGCATCTAGAAAAATGAACAATAATTCTTTAAAATCATTATATATCTATGTAGTCAATGTTCACATTTACATATTTACAGTTATAAAGCCATCATCTTTTTCACCCAGCTTGTTTGAGTGAAGATCCAGTCTCTAGTGTTTGCCCAGATTGTCTCTTAAGAGTCTTTTTTTAATGTACTGATTCTTTATCCAGTTCTTTCTTTGTAATTTTACTTGTTGGTGAAACCGGGTCTTGGGGTAACAGATTGGATTTTGCCGATTGTATCTCTATTATATCCTCTGAATTTCCTATAATTTGGATATTGAAGCCAGGAATTCGCAATTTGATTATTCATGCATTTTTCCAGCTTTTTAGTTTGAAAGTTTTAGATTTCAGGAAAATCTGCTAAGCAGGACAGAGTTTCTGTTTATTCTTCCCTCAGATTCCTTTACTGTCACATCTTATATAACTGTAGCATAATTACCAAAACCAGGAAGATGATACAGTGACACTAAAATATTGATATAATATGATATAAAACTAGTAACTTACAGATTTCTTTAAATTTTGCAAGTTTCCCCACTAATTTCTTTTTTCTAGGCCAGAATCTAACCAAGGGATATTACGTAGTTGTTCATGTCTTTTCCAATTAGAGATAATTCCTTTTTGTTTTATTTTGTTTTGTTTTCCTTTACAACCTTTGTGCTTGTGAAGAGCACCGGTCAGCTATTTTGTAGAATACCCCTCAGCTCAGGCTTGTGTGATGTGTTGCCATGATGAGGTGGACGTGTGTTGGAGGCAAGAATACCACAGAAGTGATCTTGAAGTGTTACCGTTTGAATAATTTCCTCACTTTTAGTCTTCTGTGTTGCTTCATTGCTGCTAAACCAAAGCTGGACTTTCAGCAGGCATTTCTTTCATGTATTTTTCAGACTGCAAAATGAACCTGAATGATTTCATCAGTATGGATCCTGAAGTTGGATGGGGAGCTGTCTACACACTACCTGAATTTGCACACCGCTTTAGCAGTAAAAGCTACTGAGCTGGACATCGGGATGTAGAACTGTGAACTCGGGGACACAAACAGGCCAGCCTGTCCCATAGGACAGCAAACGTGATACATTTGGCTCGGAGCTACATTTCCTCTCTTAATTCAGTGGAGTGGGAACATGGATGAACACAAATACAAATGAACTAAAGAAAACCTCTTTCGTACTCGGGGAGAATGCATGTGTAGCCTGTGTGAGGCCCTGGGTTCCAGCCCAGCACCGCAAGGAAAAGAAGACCTTTCCTTTTGGTGTGTCGAGTGGCAGCTCAGCGTGGTGTCTTTTTGCCCCCGTGTGATGGCTGCCAGGCCTGGCTGTGTGCAGATGGAGGAATCTCTTCTGCATGTCTCTTGTCTCTGTGGCCACACTGTATGCCCCTGTGGGCAAGGCTCTGTTTCACGGATATGTGAACGTTTGGTGCGCCGTAAAGATATTCATGAAGTATTTCTAGAGACAGCACTGCTGCTTGGAAAGGGATTGTATTGTGAGCTGAATCAGCAGTAAGTATTAGTCTTTTTGGACCACAGTGTTGTTAACGATTGCATTTCTCTCAGGCTGAGTGATATTTGGCCTACTTATAAGTGATTTGTTTTGGGCCTTATGAATGATTTTTTAAAAATAAGATTTAAAATTTATTGTGTTGAAGGTTTTGTGTCATTCTTTTTTTTTGGTACTGGGGATCGAACTCAGGACCTTGTGCTTGTGAGGCAGGCGGCGGAACCACTGAGCTAAATCCTCGGCCCTGTGTCATTCTTCATGATCCAAAATACCTAAGAGTGTCAGTCATATATGAGAACCATCTATGTGCGTTTGAAAAATATGCTTTAAAACACATTTGTCATGTCTGCCTTCTTGGAAAATTGGCTTTAATCATACAATTCCAAATAAAAGATATTTGGCATTAAACTGGGATATAGTATTGGCTCCCATTCATGTTTGCATGGTTTTACTGTATGTCCTAGTTACTTTCTTGTCACTGAGACACAGTACCTGACACCCACACCTCTAAGGAGGAGAGGTTTATTTTGGCTGACAGTGTGTAGAGGTTTCAGTCCATAGTCGGCTGGCTCCAAGGCAGGCAGGGCAGGCAGGAGGCAGAGAGGGATCAGGGAAGGAGGAGGGATACTGTACCGCTTCCAGGCCACACTCAGTCATCACCTTGTCCCACCAGACTTCACCTCCCAACATCGCACCAAGCTGTAAACTCCGCAGGGGACCAATCCAGCGATGACTCTCACACCCCCACGAGCCAGTCTTCTCCCATAAGCCCCCCCATCTGAGTGGATGTGGCTTTCGTGGGACATCGAGATATAAACCACAACACTAAAAATAAAAAACTAGGGCTGGGGATTTAGCTCAGTGGTTTCGCCGCCTGCTGCGCAAGTGCAAGGACCCGAGTTTGATCCCTGGTACCAAAAAAAAAAACCCAAATAACTTCTTATAGTAAGGATATCCAGGCTTTTGTTCTTAGATGAGCTTTCTACCTTTGTTGTTTTGCAGTATAGGGGATTAAACTTGACTTCCTGTTTGCTAGGCAAGCCCTCTACCATAGCGCCACATCCTCAGCCCATTTTCTGCGTGTAATTAAGTAGCTTTCGTTGAACACGCGTCCTCTGTCCTCCAATGTAAAGGATTCACTGTAACTACTCCAGCAGCTTGCTCAGCTCACCAGGAGGATTCTGGTAGAACACAGGTGAACTACTTTAGTATAAGCAGAATACAGCTAAAACTGCTTAAGTTATTTGATCACTAAAGCTAAATATGGACCCCACGCTTAGACATCTTCATTGGGTTTCAGATGGTCATTTAAAAAGTTCGTGGCTTAAATGAAGAGGATGAAGTTTGGCAGGCTGCACCATGGAAATACTTTTTCCTGAGCAGAAAATGTCAGAGGAACCAAAGGATTGTAGTCTGATTTACAGATTGTGTTTTTGGAGATTTTTCTTGACCTGTTTTATATGTCTCTGATTCGGATATTGAGTACATCTAGTACAGAGGACCAGACAATGTCTTTGGAAGTTAGACTTCCTAAACAGATGTCTCTTTGGACTTTCCAGCCACATTCTCTAAAAATTGAAAACCTAGGGCTGGGGATTTAGCTCAGTGCTTCCACTGTCTGCCTTGCAAGCGCAAGGTCCCAAAGTTTGATCCCTGGTACCAAAAAAAAAATTGAAAACCTATTACTGCTTACCAATGTAGGGAGCAAGGTTTTATACTTTGGAGCCAGTTAAAATGTCCCGAGGAGCTGGGCATGGTGGGCTTGGAGACTAAGGCAGGAGGAGGCAGCCTGGGCATCTTAGTGACTTGGTGAGACCTTGTCTCAAAAAGTTAAAAAAAAAAAAGGCTGCAGATTAACTTAGTGTGAAAGCCCTGGGTTCAGTCCCCAGTGCTGGGAGGAGAAAGGTCCCATGGTCATAATCATGACTTGCTAGAGCAACAGATCCCCCACATCTCACTGCCCCCCCCCACAGGGTCTCACTAAGTTCCCCAGGCAGGACTTGAACTTGCAGTCCTCCTGTCTCAGCTGCCCTCAATGTTGGGATTACAGCCAGGTGCCAGGACACCTGGCTTGTAACCTTCTAGTAGCACTCCTGCAGTGCCCTTGGGGATCTCCGCCTTGCACATCACAGTAGTCTTGTTAGCCCTTATGTATAAGCAAATTGCCTAAACTAGGCCAGGCTGGAGCCTCTTGCCGGGACAGGTCTAGAGTGACTGGTAGCATGTTCCCTGGATTTGTGTGTTGCTGTTCAGAGATAGGCAGTCTCCCTCCATTGGTGTTGCTAAGCTGGAGTCCCAGAGCTTTGAGGGGCAGTGGTGGGAATCCTGACTACCACAGGGAGAGGCCTGGCTGCTGCCTGCAGCCAGGAGAATGGAGAGTGGTGCAAGAGCCCCAGGATCAACCTGTGTCTGAAGCCAGCCTCAACTACTGAATTTGCCAGAACCAGTGGATTTCTCTTCCCCTTCAGCTTGTGTGACTTGGGTGTCTGTCAGTTTGTACTGGGGATTGAACTCGGGACCTTGTACTTGCGAGACAGGTGGCGGAACCACTGAGGTAAATCTCCAGCTGTCAGTTTGAACTGAAAGGTTCCTTTATAAGTTTTTTTTCCTTCAGAGTTGCTGACAGTGAAATCAAGATAAATAAGGTATCTGAAACTCACCAGTAGGGGAGCAAACATGGAAGGATACAGAAGCTCTCAGGTCAGTAGAATTGCCTGTTCCTGATTCGAAATGTTAGCTTATAAGCTTATAAGCAATGGCTTTTATCTAGATGTCCCCCAAAGCCTCATGTGCTCACAGGAGGAGCTTCTCAGAACTGGCTGGATGAGTGGTGCTAAATTAGTCTACTGATTGGTTTAGCATAGTTCTGGGGTGGCTGAATGGATTTACTGAAGACAGAAACCCCACTCTGGGTGTGTGTGCCACCAACCAAGAGGTTTATAGCCCGGATGGAATGAAAAGGCAGAGGGAGGCTGGCTGCTTCCTGTCTGCCCTGCCATGGACTGTTTCTCCTCTTCGATGCCCCTCTGCCTGCCTTCCTGCCTTGGAGCCAGCCCACTATGAACTGAAACCTCCACAAACTATGAGCTGAAATAAACTTTTCCTCCTTTAACTTGTAGATGTTGTCCCAGCAATGAGAAAGTAACTAAGACAATAGCTTTTAAGAAAATTGGTGTTTTGGAAGAGGGGGTTGGTTGGCAACAGTAATGAAGACAACCTTTTTTTCTTCTTAGGCAGCCTTTCTTGTATATATGGTTTTCAACATTTAATTTTTTTTTTTGGTACCGGGGATCAAACTTGGGTCCTTGCACTTGTGCAGCAGGGGGCAAAACCACTGAGCTAAATCCCCGGCCCTGTATATATGGTTTTGCTCAATTTATTTTTATTTTTTGTGGTACTGGGATGGAATCCAACCCCATGATTTAATTTTTACTTAATTCTTTAAAAATAGATGGTGTATGTACGTTGTGCAATTTCAAAATACATAAAAGAGTAGGGGCAGGGGATTTAGCTCAGTGGTTCCACCGCCTGCCTTGAAAGCGCAAGGTCCTGAGTTCGATCCCTGGTACCAAAAATAAAAAGGTACATTATATAAAAGTGAAGACTAAACTTTCTTACCTTTTTGTTGTCTAGTTTTCTCATGTCCCTAGCCAGAGACAAACTCTTTTCCAGTTAATTTCATATCCTCCCAGGGATTTTCTGTGCCCACAGAAACCCATAAATACTACATAGTAAATACTAAATTTTGTTTTTCCCTCCAGTGGTAGCGTGGCTTCCAGGCCTTATCATCCAGACTGGTCCTTTCAGACGTCCCCTTCATAGTGACATTCTCTTGGGGACTTTTATGTTTCCTGTTATCGCTCTCTTCCGGAGTTGGTAAAGGAGCCCAGGGCCTCAGGCATGCCCCTCAGCTTTCTGCCTTGTTACCCTGGTCTGAGCCTCTGAGCCTTCTTACTGCCACCCAGTCTTGTTATACCCTGTCTGAGTGGACTCAGAGTGTAGCAAATTAGAGCACATAGCTGGGTCACCACTTTCCAGCAGCATCTGAACTACCCCAAGGGAAGGTGAGACACTCCTGTGCTCCTGGCTGGTTGAATGGAACCAAAAAATGAGTTTTGCCTGCTAGGGACTCAGCATGGGCTCCTGATGGGGGTCTTTTTCTTGGTACTGGGGACTGAACTTGGGACCTTGCGCTTGCCAAGCAGGCATGGAGCCACTGAGCTACAACCCCGGGCCTCCTTCCCCCTTCAAAAATGAACAGTAACAGCCCAGTGAAGTGGTGTATGCCTGTGATCCCAGCACTTTGGGAGGAGGATCTCAAATTGGAGCCCAGTCTGGGGAGGTTAGTGACTTAGTGAGACCCTATCTCAAAACAAAAAATTAAAAGGTCTGGGATGTAGCTTGGTGCAAAGGCCCTAGGTTCAATCTACAGTACCACAGAAAACAAACCCACAACCTCAGGATGGCTTCCACATATCTGTAAGCTAAAATTCCCTGTCCTTAGCAGGCCCCATGGCCCTGGGTGGTCGGGACAGGCCACCCCTGTGATTACTGCACATTCAGCCTGTGCCCGGCCTACCTCCTCTACAAGGTTTCAGTTCCTGAGCAGGACAGACTCATTTCTTCCTCGGGGGGCCCCGTTCTGCTGATCCCAACTGGGCATTGTGCCCTGTTTCTTCTGTTTGGTGTTTAGGTCCTGAGCTCCAGCTAATGTCCTGTGACCTTTCAGCTGTCACCAACTGAAATGGTCTTGCATATCTGTTTGCTGAAAAGTGTTTTCCGTCTCCTTCACGAGACTGATTTCCCTGCCTTCTTCTCCCCAGTGGAGCTGGTGTCTGGTACACTGTGTGACACAGTGTGGTAGGCACTTAACAGACATTCCTTGAATATTTAACAAAGGAACAATTTCACTAAAGGAATCTGGAATGCCCAGCCCTACTTTACTGTATTGCTGGACAATGCTGGCAAAGCACTGCTGAAGTTTTGCTCTCGATTCTTCCCCATGACTAGATTCTGATCTTTAAATCATGCTTTTCAGTAGGATCCTTTTGCAGTATTTCAAGCCCTTATTCCAAGCCCCAGTCTTCCACCTTTTGGTTTGGGAAGCACATTACAGATGGCTTCTGCACGTAGCCCAGAACCATGAGTTGATTTAATTAGCTTGCTCTGCAAGTCCCTCATTCCAGCCCCTGGCCACAAACATGGGGGGAGTCCCTCATCTGTTCTAATCCTGACTGTAGCAGCGCACGACATGTTTCCCCTTCCCCTCAGTGCCCACACTGCAGGACCCCATAGGACGAGCTTTCTTTTATCCTCTTGGTCAAGGAGAGTGACAGCAGATGTCTGTTGGAAGCAGGCTTTTGATAATATCCATTTGTTAGCAAGGAGGAACTCCTGGTGAAATTTTGCTTGGTCATAGGCAGTCTTTTCAAGGTTTCCATGGGGACCTGGAGGTTTAAAGCAATTCCTGGGAAGCAAAGTGAGGCGAATGTGAATGCAGCCTCACAGGTCTTTTCTGCAGCCAGGGACCCCTCCCTGAGGCCTAGAGGTGTGGAGCTGGGGCTGGACTTCTTGGGGCCAGAGATGACAAGATCTTGTCCCTGGGCGCAGATTACAGAAAAAAATCAGATTTGAGTCCTTGGCCTCTGTTAGGGTTCTCTCCCTGCTAGTTGTGTGACATGGGACTGTCGCCTAACCTCTCCAGGCCTTGCCTCAACCATAGTTATTTTGAGGCTTAGATAAGATTGTGTATGGGTGTGTGTGTGTGAGAGAGAGACACAGACAGACAGAAAAAGCGAGAGAGTAGGAATCTTTCACATTGTGAAAGGTAAAGTTTTTGTTCTGTTTTTTGAGACAAGGTCTTGCTATGTAGTTCAGGTCGGCCTTGAACTAACTATGTAACCCAGGCTGGCCTCAGCTGTGTGGGGGGCCTTGCCCCCCCCCCCACAACTCTTGAGTGCCTTTTACAGGCATGTCTAAGCCTGCTGCAAGTCTATCCGGCAACAAGGAAGTAGCCCCAGTACCCTCCCCTTGCTCCCTCCCTCTAGCCCTACGGTATATATGCTGTAGCAGCTTTCGCAATAAATGAGACTTGATCAGAAACCTGTCTTGTCTCCATCTCTTGTGTCCCCTGTCCTTTGTCATTCTCACTCCCCCTCTAGGGTCTCCGTTGACTTACCCGCGGGCCAGGACACAGCTGAACGTACAGTGATCCTCCTGCCTCAGCTTCCCAAGTGCTAGGATTACAGGCGTGCACCACCAGGCCCAGCTAGTAAAATGTTTTAAATAGCTAATATTTATGCCTAGTATGCACCAGTTAGCCCTTCTAAGCTCTTTACATATATGGACTAATTTAATCTCCTAAACAACAACATGGGTATCTGTTTCATTTCCCCCATTACAGGCGAGAAAGCCAAGGCACTGAAGTAGAGTAATGTACTCAAAGCCACGTGTGAGTGAGTGGCAGAGAGAGGGTTTGAGTCCAGGTGTTACAAGTTCACCCCCCACTCTAAGCCCAAATTCAGGTCAATAGAATAGATGCTCTCTGTGGTCAATGGGAGTGGTTGCTGAACTTTGCCACGTCCTGAGTGACACGTCCTTCAAAGGTGTCCACTGAGTAGGTTACCTTGGCGTTACTCCAAAGAACCTTTATGTGAGAGTCTCAGACTGCAAGCACGAGATTCCTTGGGAGTTTTGTTCTGTCCCTGGCTCAGGGCATCTGCTGCCTCCTGTAGGATGGAAACTCGGCACCACTCGGTGGACTTCATTCTCCGGCAGGTCGTGCACCTGTCCCCAGTTCTGCTCTTCTGGGTTAGGGGGACTATGATAAGACCAGAGTACTGGAGGCACTGGCACCCTGACTCATTCTTTTGCTGTAAATGGATTTGTTTGATCAAGAGCAAAGTTGGAGGCAGGCTTGGTGGTGCATGTCTGTAGTCCCAGTGCTTGGGAGCCTAAGGCAAGAGGATCACCTGAATCCGTGGTTGAGGCCAGCCAGGCAACACAGCCAGACCCTGTCTCAGAAGAAGAGCACTGTTGGTCTCAGATGTCATGACAGTAGATAAGGTGTCCAGTTAGTTGCAAGTGGTTGGCAGAGGCATGGCAAGGAAATTCATATGCAGAGTTAGTGCTTATGCAAGGAGGGGAAAAGTCACCACTTTCCATGTTGGAGGGGAAGCCTTGGTGACCATTGCAGCCTTCAGCACAGAGAGCAGCTAGGTCAGCTTTGGTGAGGCAAGGACAGTCATCAAGTCTGTACACAACTCTGTCCCTGCCATCATGGCCACCAGGCTCATGGGCCCACCGTGAAACACTTGGGAAACAGCGGGGTCATCTCACACTTGGTTCTTCAGTGCAGCCTCCATAGTGAGGACCTTTAGTGAGAAACAACTTGGGCTATGTAGTTAGGGTTCACTAAAGGAATGGATTTACTATTTTTTAAAATATGTGATATATAAAGGATTTGCAAGGTGGGCTTACGATGGCCACCTGCAGGGTCAGGTGTGGAAGACTGCAAAAGGGCTTTCTGTGTGCTGGAGAGCTAGAGGATCCAGTCAGAGGTTGAAGGCCTGGAGCTCACTCATGTGAGTCTGTCTGGAAGCTGAAGGGTCTGCACCGGAAGCCTGGAGATGGATGTCCAAAGGTGACGGCAAAGACTGGAGCTCCTCCAAAGCAGCAGAAATGAAACTTTCATCTCCTTTCCCTTTTTATTCCATTCAGGCTACAAGCCTATTGGTTGGTGCCAACCACACCCAGGGTGGGGCTTCCCTTTTCAGTAAGTCTGTCATCCAGACACACCCAGAACTGTGCTCAGCCAATCTGCTGGGCGTTTCTCACTCGAGTTGGCACCACGGCTGCAATAGGCTGCCAGTGTGCCAAACTCCAGGGCCCAGGAATCTGCTTTCTCATAGCCGTACCCTCTCAGCCTGTCCTTTTCCCCAGCTGTGATTCCACTGCAGGCCTTCCTTGGACCAGGCATTCTGAAACAGGGATTTAGATCTAGTGCTGGTCTAAAGTGTGATTAGGCTTTTGGATTCAGTCAGTAAACTCTAGCGCCTTTCCAAAGTGGATGCCAGTGTGACTCATTATGAAAAGTGGAGATATGGGATGGAACTTTAGCTGGGCTTGTCCACATTTGTCCTAAACTGTGCTCCTACTCCTGATGGAGGTATCTGGTTTTTGAGGGAAGATTCTGGTGGGGATAACAGAATCTGACTTTCTCACCTCTCTGAATCTAAGACTGTCTTTTAAACTCCGATGCCTTCGGACAAGACGGTGGCCTTCCCCAAGAGCACGGCAACTGGCTGGATGCATCTGCAGTGCCTGTCAGTGGCTGTGACATTCCATGTCAAAAAGGGCCCTATAATCTGATGCTCACTGCATTTCTGGATAAATGCTTTTTATCCTCCTGCTTGTTCCTGATGCTTTTGAACATTGAGAGAATTTACATATTGCAGGGATTTTATTTCAAAACTTGGAATGTAAGACACACATTTTTGGGGGGTGGCATTGGTACCCAGGGGTGCTCTACCACTGAGCTACATCCCCAGCCCTTTTTATTTTTATTTTGAGGCAGGGTCTTGCTAAGGCCCGGGCTGGCCTTGAACTTGAGGTCCCCCTGAGGCAGGCTTCTGAGTAGCTGGGATTATCGGCATGTGCCACCAGGCCTGCTCCCGAGATGCATATCTTAAATATTTAAGGCAGCAGCAAATAAAATCACAAAAATGTTATATTGCAGGAAGCAATTATTTCTGTCAGTTCTGAGCAATATTAATCTTCACAGGAACTAATAAAGTATGTGTTTGGGTCCTTCACAAAGTATTGTAAGAAAACTCAAGTTCTCTCTCTCTCTCTCTCTCTCTCTCTCTCTCTCTCCCTCCTATACTAGGGATTGAACCAGGGTTTTTGTACTGAGTCCATCCCTAGCTCCTTCTGAATTTTTTACATTCTGACATACAGTTTTCCTAAATCACTAAGCTGCCCAGGCTGGGCTTCAATTTGTGACCCTCCTGCCTCAGCCTCCCAGGGTGCTGGGCTATAGGCACGTAGCACCATGCCTGGCTAAAAAAAAATGTCATTTTAAAAATGATCCCTTTGCTTTCCTGTTGTTTTATCTCTGTCACTTAAATGACTTCACTACCTATTGAACTTCTAGCCATCTCGAAAACTAAAAAACAAATCAGCTGGGCCTGGTGGTGCAGGCCTGTAATCCCAGGACTCTGGGAGGCTGAGGCAGGATAATTCCAAGTTTGAGCCTACCATGGGCAATTTAGCAAGACCCTGTCTTAAAATAAAAAATAAAAAAAATGGGCTGGGCATGTAGCCTGTATCACACACATACACAAAATCAATTAGTCCAAGCATGATGGAGAGCTCTTTAGATATTTATCTCTAAAAATGACGTGTGATCATCCCTTTTGATTTAGTAATTCCTTACTGGGATTTCCCTTACAGATGGGTGTACTGCACACACATAAGATGGTGGATTAGCAGATTAGTCACTGTTTTCCTGAAGATAACAGAAGACTGGAAACTGCCTACCATTCACCAACTGGGCACGATGAAGCTGTTACCATGGTGATAGGGTCCCGGATGGGTGTCCAGGTTCTTGTGTGTAGGAATAAAGAATTGGACATGGCATGTGAAGGTAAGGAGAAGCAGAATGGGGGGGTGGTAAAGAAATAGAAGAGGAAGAGATTAGAAGCGAGGCTGGAGGACAAAGGAAGAGCATGCAAACGTTGGGGAACTGGTGAAGGAGAAAGGGAAAGAGAGAAGGAAGAGACGCAAACAAGAACAGGAAGGAGCAACAACAAAACTAGAACCCGTGTCCACACTCATATAAAAATAAGAAAAAACAAAACAAAAACAAGAAAGAGAAATTTTTTTAAAAAGGAAAAGAAAAAAAGAAAAAAAAGTCACTTCAAGGCCTGTCTCTGCTGTCACAGGTGGACAACTTGGGCAGTGTTCAGATGGGAGTTGATTCACTCCAGCAAGCCAGCATGGTTTTACAGCAGGAGAGTGGATCATCCCAGCAGGCCTGCGCCTTTACTTCTACTCAAGTTCAGGCTGGCTTCTGGCCGTGAGGATGGAGCTGGACCTGTGGAGCCTGCAACAGTCCGCGCACCCCACACTGGCTCAACCCGGGCTCCCTGAGCTCCTGACACTGGAGCCCTTGGGGCCCTCTGCAGAGGCTTCCAGCCAATCGCCCTGTCCTGGAGGGGTCCGAACCCCAACAACTCATCACCTGCATCCGCTGCTGCCCTCCCCTGTTCTTCTCCATGGAGGACCCCACTTGCCAGTGGTCTGCAGGTTCAAGCCCCCTTCCCACGTGCGAGTCTGGGCTCGGGAGAAGGCGCTGTCCCCTACAGCCTCCTCCTTTGTTGGACACGCTGTCATGCTCTTCCTGAGGGCTGGGCTGTCAGAGGACTGGTGGGGCATTGGGTCACATCACTGTCCTCTGCTCATGTCCTGTCGCACAGTTCACTCTGTTATTACTGGATGGATGAGGCGAGGCCCTGTGCACCAGCCTTTAGTGGGCTCCAGGTGAGAAAGGGTCCTGCCGGTCAGGATGAGGCTCTGGCACACGGTCATCTTGCTTTGGGACTCTGGAACTTTCCAAGGTGAGCCTAGGTGTCTTTGTTTTTCTTATCTCTGTCTCTGGGTAATGAACCTTAGGACAAAAAGGATGGGGTCAGCCCTGGGGCTTTCCCCAGGTGCAGGTGAGTGGCCCTGTAGCCCCAATGTGCTGTCTGTATTAAAATTATGATACAGCTGTAGAAGGAAACATAGGAGGAGGTTTGTGGTTATTTGTTTGTTCTTTTTGATATGGGAGGTCTTACTATGTTGCCCAGGCTGGTCTTGAACCTTGTGGGCTCAAGCAATCCTCCTGACTCAGCCTCTCAAGTAGCTGGAATTACAAGGAAGAAGCACTGCAGCTGGAGAACGTTTCTGTTTCCTAAATTGAGTAATGGTTTTCAAAACATGTTTTTGTCTTAAAGTTATAAATATTCTTTTGCATGTAGTAAATATTTAATAAGATTAAGTTTAAAAAACCAAGTGAAACATAGGTATGAAAAGAGAAAAATACAAGTCTGTACTGAATGCCTAAAAGAATAGTCTGGGCATGGTGGTGCACATGGGTGGTGCTGAGTGTAATCTCAGCACTCGGGAGGCTGAGGCAGGATCACCTCGAGTGTGACCAGCTCTATCCGGGACCCACCAAGAATCACCCCATTAGAACAAGAGATGCTCCTACAGCTTAGGAAATTCCCAGGGGCTCAGGAGCTCGGTGTTGGACGCTCCTGCCACTAGGAAAATCACGAAGGTCTCAGGCGCCCTGTGTCAGGAGCCAGGGTCAAGGACCAAAGGTGAGGACCAGATTCTCCCAGCGCCCTACCTATGAGGGGCTGTTTCAGGAAACTGGAGCATAGACCAAAGATTAGAACAAGTTTTTCCTAGCAATCCTATTGCTTAGGAAGTTACAAGGTTTTGGAAGCTTTGTGGTAGGAACTGAGGACGATATTTATGGTTCTTGCCTGGGGATTTAGCTCAGTGGTTCCGCCGCCTGCCCCTCAAGCTCAAGGTCCCGAGTTTGATCCCCAGTACTAAAAACAAATTTATGTTTATTTCATAATCAATGTCTTTTACAAAGTCTTAAAATAGCACCTTGATGGTCTCTGCAATGATAGCTAACATTCACTGGCTACTGAGTTTGCGTGAGGCATTGCTCAAAGCTTGTATATAAATTACTCTTTCCCCAGGGAAGGCAGAAGGAGTAAAAATGACCAAGATGGGATGAATGTATGTACCATTTCCTGGGGATGAATGTAATTATTATGTATGGCAAACATACACATAAAAAAGAAATGTACTCATGGGGGGGTCAATAAAAGAAGGAGAAGTAAAAAATGATTAACCCTTACAATAACCTTATGAAGTAGGAGTTATTGTTATTATCCCCATTTTTCAGATGGGGCAGTAGGCACGGGGTAAATTGCTGCAAAGCAGCACAGGTAGTAGAGGGGCATGATTTGGACCCATCTCTGACCCAAGTTACTGCATGCTGAGAGGAAGATACAGTCACAGTGGAGCGAATCTGGGGCAAGATGAAGACCTTGTTTCTCTGCTGACCATAGGTCTGCAGAGTGAGAGGCCTGGAGAAGTGAGAACCTTTGGCGTGCAGATGTCTTTACTACTGGAGGACCTCGAACCATAAATGAGATTTAAGGCAGGATCTTATAGGAGCAAAAGGGGCCCACTGGAAGCTCTTACCCGTGGGTTGGGAGAAAAATAGCATTTTCCAGAGTGTCCTTTGTGGTCCACAGGTTGGGCTGGTGGGGTGGGGGGAGCCCCTGTGCACACACATTCGGGGGCCAGGAGTAGATGTCAAAGGGCAGGTAGATCTAGGAGGTTTTGTGTTGAGGATTTGGTAGGGTTGGAATCAGCTCATGGTCACAAAGGAAGCAAAGAACAGTACACTGTGCATCAGAAGGGCAGGCCACCCTCTGTTCAGGGACTTTAGTGCTGTGAGGTGCTCTGCTCATTCAGAGTTTCTGTCATTTGTGCCCTGATCCAGCTCTTCCAGGTGGTGTGGCAGAAGGTGTCACTCCCTTCTTTCCTCTTCCTTACCTGGTGAAGCACCTGAGACTCAGAGGGGCTTTCCTGGGACCAACACTCTTGTCCCTGGCCTGTGTAGGATGGAAGTGTAGAGGAGTTAATATACCCTGGGGCAGCCTTCTGCTGCTGAGGGGAGGGAGCTGCTGGATGAATGCTTCCGCTTCCTTGTTCTACAGAGGGTAAAACTCAGAGCTGTTCCATCTCCTAGTGTGCCCTTGTTCGTGGATACCCAACTGCCCACCATGCCATGCCCATTGGTCACCTACTTAGTAACCTGGCTTTCTTATGCTCCTGACTCTCTGCTTGTGCTCCCCAGGATTGCCTCTCCAATAAACTATTTGTATCAAGTCCTCTGTTTCAAGGTGTGCTTTTGGGGGACCTACCCTAAGGCCACTTATAATAATTAGAGGGCATTTCACTTACCTAGGCTCACATTTCTAGGATGTGGCTGTCTTACTTTCTCTTTGCTGGAACAAAACACACCCACGAGTTAAAGGAGGAAAGGTTTATTTTAGCTCACAGTTTGTAGAGGTTTCAGTCCACCTTGGACTGGCTCCAAGGCAGGAAGGCATTGCAGAGGAGAAACAGTCCATGGGATGGGGGGCAGGAAGCAGAGAAGCTTCCTCCTTCCTTCTCTTTTTATTCTTTCCAGGCTACAAGCCCATTGGATGGTGCCACCCACACCCAGGGTGGTCTTCCCTCCTCAGTAAGTCCATCACCCTCACCCAGACCCATGCTAAACCAATCAGTGAACTATTCCAGTATCACCCATGATATCATCCAGTGTCACACACAACTATGATCCAGTCATTCCTCAAACTCCCACCTATGAGTACTCGAGGCTTTTGGGAGACAGCTAGATATAAGCCATAATGGTAGCACATCTACTGTTTTAACTCAGACCTCCTTAGTCCAAGCTAAATGTTACTTTCTGCCACACTATGTTTAATATCTGCCGTAATGCTTCCCTTTTATGGGTCTGACTTGCCTACTAGAGTCTGGCTTATTAGACAATAAACTCCTAACAGGTAGGCACTGTGGCCTTGATAATTTTGTATGTTCACGACTAACAAAAACTGTATCTTTCAGAGTAGGTGCTCAGTGAGGATTTGTCAAAAGAGAGCAAGAGGAGTGGTATGAAGGAGGAAGAGGAAGCAGTTAGGTACATGACACTGGAACGTGGAAGAGAGATTCGGCAGACACCTTGACATATGTACGAGGGACTTGGCTGGAGGAAGCCAAGGTTAGAGTGTCAAAGGTCCACAGAGGAGCAGAAAAGTTGGAGAACCCGAAACGTTCATTTTTTTGTGTGAGAAAAGGAAACAGATGGCAAAAGTCCATTTTGAGTGCATGTATCTCTGAAGGGAAGTTTTTAAAAATTGGTTTTTATTTTTAATATTAGCTTTGTAGGAAGAATATTTACTGGGTCCTCACCAAAGAATAGAGTCTGCAAATCAGGTACTGCAGGACAAGGAGCTCCTCCAAGGAGCCCTCTTAGAAGCCTCCTCAGGAAGGGCTGAATAGATACTGAGGTGATGAACACTGCTCTCTAGCTGGACCACTGCCAGGCCCTGCTGAGTCGATCTGCCAGCTCCCGTAATGCTCCTCCCTCCTATTTGATCTCGGTCCTCTTTTCATCTCCTTCACCGCTGAAGACTGAAGAGGCTAATGCTTTAAAGGGGTCACCCAGCTCATGTGCAGCCAGGCTGTTGGGCTCCCAGCCCCTCGCACCCATCCACACTCACTCTGCATCGTGGGGATCGTGTCAGGGCACAGGGGCTCCGCTGTTGCCTGGGGGCTCGGAGTGGATGTACTAAGCCTGTGACCACTCCGCCGGAAGGGCCCTCTGGGCGTTGGGCGGGTGATCCGCTCTCTCGGGACAGCAGGGGAGCATGGGAGCCAAGGACACATGGAGAGGACGCGCTCTCGCTCCTTTTGCTCAGGGTGAAACTTTGTTTTTTCTTGTTTAAAGGAGCAGGGAAGTGGGAGGGGCAGGCGAAAGGAAAGAAGGGAAAAGAAAAAATATGAGAAAAGGAAAAAATGGAAACAAAGTCTTTGCAAATAGGGAAGGGTGGGCAGGGAATGGGGAAAAAATAAGAGCCAAAATGCATCATGCAAAGGTACATGATCCCAACGATGAATGTGACTGTACTTTGTACCTAAAATGTACCAATAAACTTAATGGGGAAAAAAATAACTAACCCGAAAAAAAAAAGTTTGTTTTTTTTCCTGAGCAATTTGAAGGCAATTTGCAGACATCATGAAACTTCACTATAAATACGACAGCAGGATTTCCTAAGAACAAAGACATTCTTCTGCCTAATCACAATATTATTATCATGGCCAAGAAATTTAACATTGATCCAACAATATTACCTACTGTACAGTCCATACTTGAATATTTGTTTCCAGATATCTCCAAGATGGCTTTTTTTTTTCAATCCAGAATCAATTTTGAATTCTCTTAATATTAGATTATTTTTCTGGAATGTTTTGCTACAAAACATTCATAATTTCCTTTTACGGGCTATTTAGTAATCCACAAGGCTGATTTGGTAGAATTTATTAATGAATTTTTTCTTTGGTTGTTACTGTTTGTTTCTATTATAAATATGACATGGTCTTGAATGAGACTTTGCCTTTCTCAGCTTTGAGCCCGGCACAGTTCAGTAGACAGCAGAGTCCAGTGAGTGTGACCCTGACTGTCATCAAGCGTCCTCCCCACTCGGAGTCCGCCCCCCAGACTCTGAGGGAGATTTGCACACTGGAGGGTTACTGCAGAGGCCTTGGGGCTACACTTGCGGGGATCAAAGGCAGCAGGATGAGACAGAGGAAGGCGCTGAGCTGCGAAGCAGGTAGCCTTTGGCTCCGTCTCTCCTTGAGGCGGCACCTGGGTCTTTTTACTCTGGCAGGGATCAGTCGCCGGATTCGATCACCTCTGGGGAGGAGCTAGGACCTTTCTGGCTCTCTTCAGCTTAGAGCACTTTTCAGAGAGATGTGGGGCTGGGTACACGGGCCTCAGTACTGAAGAGGAGATGCGAGCAGGGACCCCAGCATTCATCTCACCATGCTGGAAATGCTTCATATCTTGGAGTCCCCTCAGCCAGACGGAATACAGAGTGGGGTGAGGGGCGAGAGCCCAGAGGAGGGCGGGAGTGCCAGCACCTTCACGTCAAGTGCACGGAGCACACACTGGACGTGACACACATCTCCTGGGGGAAGAGGACCAGAGGGAGGGGCCTGGGGCGGCCGGACGGGGCGGTCTGTGCTCCGTGGGCCTGTTGGCGGCAGAGGATGGGAGCACACCCTGAGGTAGGTGCAAGAGTGGCCCTCGGAGGCAGTGCTGAGCCAGGCAGGCTCGAACAGCCTCTACTTGGAAATAATGTAAGACTCAGACACTGCAAATAGAAAGGGATCCTGGGTGCCCTTCGCCCAGCTTCCCTCAGTGATAACAACTTGTATACGCACTGCGCGTTCCCGGACGGAGGAAACTGACGCTAGAATCGGTACAATGTTACAAATTAAACCGTAGAGCTTACTTGGTTTTCATCAGTTTTTACATTGTGTGTGTGCTTGTGTAGTGCTGTAAGATCCTATCACACGTATAGATTTGTGTGATCATCACCACATCGGGACACACACCTGGCTCATAACTGCAAGGAAACTCCCTTATGCTGTAGCTTTGTCACTCTGTTGTCAGTCTAATCTCTGGGAACCAAGGATCTGCTCTCCATCCCTCCATTTCTCCATCGAAATGTTGTCATTTCAAGAGCACCATATAAATGGAATCAAATAGTTTGTAACCTTTTGAGATTGGCTTTCTTTGCCCATTTAGCATAACCCCCTTGAACTCCAGCCATGTCGTGGTGTGTATCAGTAGTTCATTCTTTTTTGCATCTTAAGAGTGGTATTACGTTGTGCATCCATACACAGTTGTTTATCCATCTGAGCGGGAGTCGCTTTATGACTTGCTCAAGAAGACCCTACTGGAGAGTGCAGGAAGCCAGTGAGATCTGAAGGGAAAAAATTACTTAGGACCAAGAACCGAGGATGAAATCTTTTCCCTTGTCCTGAGAATTAAAACTGGAGAGGTCCCCAGCGATGGGAATTGCCAAGATCCCTTAGAAAGTGTCCCAGCGGGAGGCAGCTTTAATACTGCTGCAAACCCGGGAGCAGGGAGTCAGCTTGCAACAGTGCGGGTCAGGAGCCAATTAAAATAGCTCCGGATTTAAGCCCTTCCCTCTTCCCTTCCCGTCCTCTCGGTCAGCACCTTGAGGGTGGAGGATGCTTGGGAGGCAGAGGCCAGGGAAAGAAGCTGTGTGGGAACCCAACTTTCCCTCACCTTCCTGGGGCTGCGAGGGCGGGCTGGGGGTGTCTTTTGAGTGAATATTTGACTAAGATAATGAAGTGGTGGTTGAATTCTCTCCGTAAAGACCGTGTTTGTGACTTGATCATCAGACTGTCATTACGTAAAAGTGACCACAGCAGCCAGTCACTTTCAAGTAGACTCAGGACCAGCTCCTTTCTTCCTACTGGGTCTGTCTCCCTCCCGCCAAAAACTCGAATCCATTTTAATGGGATGATAGGAGAATAGCAACAAAGCTTGTTTCGATTATGTCAATATAGCAGTTACATAAATAGCTTGGAAGTAAACATCTTCCACACATAAACTTTTTTCCTTTTATAGTATAATTTCCCTAGAGCAAATTCTGGAAATAGGATCAAGAGGTCAAAGCAAAGGCACATTTTTGTGGTTTTTAAAACATGTTGCCAAATTGCTTTCCTAAAGGTTTTGCCAATTTACGTTGCCACTAGGTATTGTATGAGTGTTTGATCACATTCAGTAGCACAGGATAGTATCATAAAATTGTTATTGTAATGGAGTTTAAATGCTATTTTAATGTTTGGAATAATTTTAAAGAGTTTTAATAATACAATTTTTTCCTGGTACCAGGGATGGAACTCAGGACCTTGCGCTGGCACCACTGAGCTACATCCCTGGCCCAATAATACCATTTTTGCACTAGGTATTTTATCAGTTTCCCTAAACTTGCTGTTAATATTTTAAGTACCAAATGTCACTGAGGCTCTGATTTCATAAATTAATGACAAAGTGTTTTTATCCAGCTGCCAGAGGGTCCCCTGCAGCATTTGGAAGCAGACAAAGCCCTGTAGTTTAGGGGTGTGCCATGGACCAGAGGTAAGTGCTGCCCCAACCCCAAAGTCTGTGCGTGGGCTGCTGTCTCCTGACTGATGGCATGTGGAGGTGGGGCCTTTGGGAGGTTCTGAGTGCAGATGAGGCTGAGAGTTCCAACCCCCTTGGGATTCGTGCCCTGATGAGAAGCAAA